GCTTGGATAGGTTGGGGGTGTGCGATGGGAGTTGAGCCGGCTGTAGGTAGCGCGCTTGTGCTGAGCCCTTGCGCTTGTTGGGCTTTTGCCAGACGTTTGAGCTCTTTCTGTTCAACAAGAATTTAGCAAGGGAAGGCGAAGGTCAAGGCAATTATTAGTCATAGCAGAGGAGAATATGTTACTAACCCGCTTTTTCCGATCTTCCCGGGCTTGAGCCGACTCAACCACAAGCACATTAACATTCCACTGAGAACTCGTGAGTAAGAGAGTAGATAACAGATGTGCAAGAACGTACTCCTTTAAGACCATCCAAGTTAACGTGAAATGCATCCTTTTGAGTCCTATCGTCAAACAGCGTGATTGGTATCCGTTGTTTCGGCGGCACGAGCATCATCGTCGCAAGATAGTCATCCTTCTTCAGCGAGTGTTTGCCTTTAAAACGGACGCATGATGAAAAATGGGAGCACAATCTCCCAAGGGCAGAGTGAGAAAAAATCTGGGATACATACCAGGCACACCCTTAATCAGATGTTTATAGGTATTCTTCTTTTTCTTCTCTCCCTTGCCACCTGGTCCGTCATCATCGTCGCCATCCCCTTCCCCACCCCCCATGGCGCCTGGGGTCTGTCCTTGTCCAACAGCTCCCGAACTCGTGTCCAACAGCTCTCTCCCCTTTCCCTTGTCCACTCCTCCTGAGGTATTGGAAATGCCTGGTCCTCCTGGAGTCGTCGGTAAGAGTCCATCCAGAGCTGGGTCGTTCCCAGGCGTAGTGAATGGCCGAACATATTTGTCATACGCGGAGTGGAGGTTAAACTGGCCAAGGAGATCCTGGGTACTTGCGAGATGTTGCTTGGGCGGTGGGGGACCTTTTGGAAGAAGGTAATAGTGTGAGTATACATGAGCCATAACTCTAAAGAAAAAAGAGAACCTGAAGGGGGGAGGAAGAGAGGCAGGAGTGGAGAAAGATGTGGCACGGATGACGACGCGGCAGGCTGGGATGAGGCAGATGAGAAAGCGTGAATGTTGGATGGCCCGGCAATGGCGTTCGTATGCTCGCTGTTCATGACAGCGAGGTGGATGGCAGCGGCGGCGACGGGCGACGACGGAGGGAGCACTAACGGCGACGAAGAGAAGAGTGATAACAACAACTGAAACGGCTAATGCACTATTTGGCTTTGTTGACGTATCTGCCAACAATTCTAGACCACCGATTTGAACGCTCTCCGTTTCTCCTTCACGACGACCATTGTACTCTGCTCAACTTCTGCTTCAAAATGTAAATCTTCTCCCTCATTTATATCTAGGAAAGCAGTCAATCCACCATACTATGAGAAAGAAAAAACACCAAGCTTAATGTTGTCTGCTAATCTTGATTTTGATCTTACAAAGCATTTTTGCAATTCTTGCAGATCTATCACGGTTCTCGAATGGCCGGTGAGTCAGCAGTAACGTACTTGGTGTACTAGGATATCGAATATACGTACTAACATCACTCTTGGGTCCTCTCGGTCCGGAAATGGTCTCGTGGACAATTGCTTTTGAAAGGATCAAACACTGGGGAATATCTTTAGGCTGCGATGTTTGGTCTGTATAAGACCATCAGGTTGGCCTTTAGGGGAAAGATAGCAGCACTTCAAGAATATTATTGAAAAGAATGCCGTACGTCTTTGAGCAATCGTCTGGCTCACCAGTTCAGCCTGTCAAAATGTCTAGTCGAGCGAGCAAAGACGCATTGTAACTGAACACGAAAATCCAATGATACGATACTTTCTCGACTGCGGACGACCATTGGAACTCCAGAAAGTGTATCTATCATCAGGAAGAATTACCTGCGGTCGCAACAAGCATTTTTAGATGAGTATTATCAGAACAACTAGACGTTGAATGGCTCGAAGATCGCACATGCGTGTAACTTGCGATATTTATTCCATGGTATTTCTGGTCCGAGGATATTATTAGCTGACGATATCTATGGATGCAATGTTCCGAGGATGCTCTCCATTCTCCAATGTTCGGATGCCACTCATACCGACACTTGGGCACTCGCATGGTTTCTGGAGTCGTAGGAGCTACCATCCCAATATCTTGGACGAGAAGCATACGTTATAATTTTGTGTCTCGGTGCGGAACCTCTTCTTTGCTTTACATTGCGTCATCTCTCCCTTCGACACCTTCTATTATTGCGGCTTTACACGTCCGATACGGTCAACGCAGCCCTCGGTAACTCACGCTCCTCACCGGGATGTATCGTTTACTCACTTTGTGCTGAATGCGTGTATGTTCTGTTACCCGAAACAGTTCCCTGGTTTGGTGCCTGCGTGAGAACACCTGTGTCAAGAGTATGTACATATTACTGTCCAACGTCCGATGTCCATTACCATCGTCCCGTTCCTTCGTCCTCTGAAATAACTTCTATCACTTACGCTCGAGCACATATTAACTACTCTGCGACGGTGTGTGGTCAAAATTTCGTTCAATAATGTCTTATTAAATTTACGCAGACAGCGACAACATTAACAGCTATATACTACCTCTAGAGTATCAACGCCCTTACTTCCTCCATCAGGCACATTGCCGTCCGATTCGGAGTAGCCTCATCTCCTACAAATGGCTGTGTATAGGTACCCAATACTCCATTAGCGATGATCTACATTTGACATATCATTAGTACTAGTTCATCCAGCCGCAACTCCATTGCGAGTTTAGCTCATTTATTGTGCTCAAATATCGCACCAACAGAGGCAGAAAAGCGGATAACTCTTCGTGCCATTCGACTATTACAAAAGAGTCTTTCTCTTTCTGACGATAGCGCAGAGCATGAAACCTTGAAGCAGGAGATATCTCGCCTTGAGCGGATTTTAGCTCCAGTTCGTCTTCTCCCGAATGAGCTCATTGGTGAAATATTGCTTCATGTCGTCGAGTCCATTGATATCACCAATCGGGCTACGACAACCCAGCCCGTCTTCCTCGTCTGTCGACAGTGGTGGAATGTGGCTCGTCATTTAGCTGAGCTCTGGTCGACGATTAATATAAAATTGCAGATAGATCCTACGATAAACAAGTTTCGCGAAGTACCACGGCATCCATTATTGTTATCCACTCTGGATCGCTCTGGAAACTCCCCCCTTTCATTGCGTATAGATGGTGATGCATTTCTCTACTTCGACATTTACGACCTGGCATTCGATTTAACTCCCATATCTTCGCACTCGTCCCGTTGGCGTGATATTTCGACTCCTCTCTGTCCTGCGATTTATGACACAGGTGCACTCTCGTTAGCAAAGAAAAACCTTCCTATGCTAGAGAACGTTCATATTCATGGCGTTCCAGATTTCCAGTTCAGACGGCATATGAAAAATCGATTCCATATCTTTGAGGAGGCTCCCAAGCTATCGAGGCTTTGTCTCGAAAAATTATACTTTCCTTTCCAGCTCGACAATCTGAAGCTTCCGTGGTCGCAGATCACACATTTTACGTCTTGCAAGAATGCTTTCTTTTCTAATGGATTCTCGTTGTACGACATTCTATCGCGCATGCCCGGGCTTCAGAGCTTTGAGTCCATTGGAGATCGTCCCGATGGTACTGGAGAGCCTGTCCAGCTCGAAAAGCTATGCGAAATGACTATTGCAGACGCTATCCCTTCATATATGGGCCATATTCTTCATAGCTCGTTCACAGCACCAGAGCTGCGACAGCTATTCGTCCACATGGAACCTCATGAAGTGATTTCTGAGGTAGATATGAACTCTATCATCGACTTCGCAAAACGGTCTAAGAGAATGGAAGGACTTTACTTAGGTCCGATTTCCTACCACTCCATCGTCGTTTTGTTGGACGCGATGCCAGAAATCTCTGCGCTAGAATTTTTTAATCCAACAATCGCCATTGAATTCTTAGCCTTCTTTGCTAGGAATTGGAATCGCATGGGAGATGATTCTTTCGAAGCGCATTCGCAAAACCTGAAATGGGATGGGATTACATCGACTTGCAGAATTGTTGAGGACACGATACTAGAATTCAAATCCTTATTTCCAACCGCGGATCTAGGTGATGGTAATATACAGTCGTCGGCCTTTTGCGATGTTGGCATTATTTTTAGGGAGCGAGACCTATCTCTTTCGGCTAAGGTGATACAGCAGAACTTGCAGCTGGAAATACGCTGTGATGGGGACAAGTAGTTTACGCACATTATGCTTAATTGCAACTCGAAGCAGTAAAAAAAGAAGGACAGAGATCTGATTTGGTTGTCCCATGTGTGCAGCAAGACACTATTAAATATTCATTTATTTCCATAAGTTGAGTGAAAGACCTGAAGAACCTTGACGAACTTGGAAGAACACAACAGTGGAGTGTCCAATGACTTCACACCACATGATCAAGCTTTGACGCATACAAGTGCGTACAGAAGAGTCGGTCATAGTTAGTAGTAGCGTTCGGGATTACGGCTCAGCATCATACTAGAGGATTTTAATGTTATGAGAATTTTCTATACATTTTTACCTTCCATCTAGCAACTCTTCGTTAATATATCGGCTAGTACACGCGCCTGTCATACCCGACGCCTTCAAGGTTTATCGCGCGAAAGCTGGGTTCGATTCCCAGACAGAGAGATAACTGTTTGGACATGCACTTTTTTCTTTGTTTAGAATCACCGAATAAAGTGTTGGACAAAAGAGAACCGAGCAGTTGTCCAATGGAAATGGGTGTTGGAATATGAGCGCTAAGATTACGAGCGAGCGCGATCTTGACTACGCCCGCAGCTGTACTTGCATTTTAGTAGCACTGTTTCATTAGTCAATTATACACTTTATTTAGATTATCTACGAGTATTTAAGTAGAGTACTTTGACGATTTGTACTCATCCATTTGCCTCACGAGCTCACCGAGGCCAAACGTTTACTTCGCTTATTTTAACAATGGGAGTATTTTCGGAGCTCAGCCATGCATTGCTTACATAGTACTAGAACTCAGAACCTGGAGGCGCTGCCCAAGTAAATAACTCTTTGTTAGTATATCGGTTAGTACACGCGCCTGTCACCTGCGAAGTGAATGTGGCCGCACGAAAGCTGGGTTCGACTCCCAGACAGAGAGAATATCCTTTTTTCACCTCGAAGTTACGAACATAGAACGATGCACTTGTTGAAGCTTGATCAAAAGTTGGCTTGAAAGCAATTACAAGTACAATCATGTTTGTCCCCTTTCGTTTCGCTGAGAATACTATGGTACATTATTTTCTAGCTTGGATAAGCGAAAAAAACAACAACAGGAGAATATACAATATTCATTGTTATTTGTGGGTTATTAAGTATGTGAAAATAGGAAGACTACAGACGATGGGGGCTGGGATTTTGTGCAGATCTCGAATCAAACTTATCTAATTAGAAAGCTGGCTAGCATGCCTAAAAAGGACATCTGGGCATGAGTTATAATGGAGTATGAATTCTGTAAGTGATGATTGCCTGCGAAGCATCCCACCAAGTATGAAGATTCTGATATGGATTGCTATTCGATAGGAAGCGGAGAACCTCAGAACCTCCTGTAATTGAAGACTGAACACGACTCCGGTAAGCATCCAGAGTACAGTCAAGTTCAGTATTTCGATTTCTGCCCAGTATATTAGTAGACTGTCTTGGTATCTTTTGTACTCGACTTGAAGGAGATTCCCCATGACCGAAATATTTTTAGACGCCACCAGCAATAGATTATTAGGAGGCTTATCCGTTATCCGAAGCGACGAGCAAGGAAGTAATACTCCGCGCTTTGTAAGAGGTATCGTTCTCCCGAAGCCATCCGAGGCATGTCATTTACCTATGGCCCGTCCCGCATTGTTCCCACTGCATCGTCTGCCAGAGATTTCGTGACCGGTAGTTCAAACTCCATGACCAATCATCCCAAATTCACGTCTATCAGCGTGCACTGTCGCCGGTGTAGGCATGCGCCTCCATCACCTCCCCAAACTTTGGATCCATATGCGTCTATTGATTGACGGGCGTGAGGCCACGCTGCGATTACAAGTCCAGACAAAAATAACGAGCAACGAAAGATCTGAAGGTTGCGCAGCTTATCAAACATCCGATAACCGCGACTTTGAAGCAGGGGAAGGGAGAATTGTAAACTCCAGATAGAGGTGAGTTCAGGCTAGTGGCGGATCTCTGGACATGAGGAGGTAGCGTTTTGATGGATGGATGGCGGGGTAAAGGTCGTGGAGGGGAAAGCGGAAGAGGAACCGCCAAGACCGCGCGTCACCGATTCATCGCTTGTCATACATTCGTGCATCATGAACAGCGTGGCCGCCGGCAGCAACGCGTTCGCTCTTGTGACTTGATTTATACCTTTAATGTTATTACTGCCTTAATCTATGTGATCCCAACCACTCTTATCCATTCTATCCGTCGTCAAACACGCCCCGTCCGCGAGGCTTCTAGCTTAGCCCTGCCTGCCACCCTGAGGCCCCAAGGCTACGTGATCCGTAGTCTCTAAATCTGCTTTATAAACCTGGGTCCGAGCGCACCATGCCAGCCAGCCGTTCTCTCAGTCCTGGGCCACCATACAACCTTGTAGACGCCGTGGTCTGCGACTCTGCGCTCTCGCCCTCTCTTGAATCCTACCGCACACAACAGATACCGCCCTTCAGAGGCGTAGGATCTACTTCTAAGAAAGCGCCGCCACAACTGCAATCCATACCCGCTAGTCGAAGACCTACTGTTAAGCAGAACAAGAAGATGGATCCAGAGGCTGCCATTGCCAGTGGCTCCACTGCCACGGAGAACGAGAACGTGCCGCTCCTGGGTGGTGAGCCGCAGGTAAAGAAACCGTTCTATCGTGCGAGACCTTTGTGGTGTGTTCAGTCTATCAGCGAGAGGTATCTTGTTCACTAATTGGTATCTTATCAAGGCTGGTTCCCTTTGCAGTGACTGCTGCGCTAGTTGTAAGTCTATCTGCAAATTCTAGAATAATGTATCTAATCGTTTTATAGCGTGGCATGACTCTCGCGCCTCGTGTCGAAGTGTTCACCCAACTCTCGTGCAACCGCCTGCATGGACACCACGAATACAACCACACCCAGATTCTCTCCAAGTCGTTGCGACCTCACGCATCGCTCTACTCTTCCCTCGATCCCCTCGGCCCGCACCTACACCCGTCTACATCCACCTACGTCGTCTTCCCTCAATCCTCGCCATCAACTGCGCCGTCAGAGCAAGATCCCAGCGATGACGACGATACCGACACAACCGAAGATCCGCGTCGCCTCCCCTCCGCACGCTGCCTCTCCGACCCCGCTGTGCAAGCCGGCGCCGCACGCCTTCAAACCATCATGACCACCACTATGGGGCTACTCTCCGCGCTCACCACTGGGTGGTGGGGTCACTTCGGCGAACGCCACGGACGCACCCGCGCATTGGCCATTGCCACCTTCGGGCTCTTCCTTACTGACCTGACATTCATCCTCGTATCCACGCCCTCTTCGCCATTCTCCCAACACGGACACAAGCTCCTCGTCCTCGCGCCCATCATCGAAGGTCTCCTCGGGGGCTGGAGCACCCTGCAGAGCACCACCTTTGCGTATATCAGCGACTGCACCTCCTCCGGCTCGCGCGCGCACATCTTCTCTCGCTTCACGGGCGTGCTCTACCTTGGGTTCGCAGTTGGCCCAAGTATAGGCGGATGGCTCATCCAGCACCCACTGCCGTTCCTTGCTGCGGATCAAACGGCGAGGACTGGCACGAAGATGGTGACGAGCGTGTTTTGGGTGGCCGTGGCGTGCAGTCTTGTGAACTTTTTGATGGTGCTGTGTGTGTTTCCCGAGTCCTTGGACAAGGAGAAGAGGGAAAGAGCGATGAATGAGTATGTGAACGGTGGGAAGGACGGCAAGGGTAAGGCGAGGATGGCAGTTGAGGGAGGCGTTTCTCAGGAAGTAGAAGATAAAGAGAAGAAGGATGGAGTTATCCGCAGATTCTTGAGTCCGCTTGCTGTCTTTCTTCCTACTACTGTCTATGATCCCCATGGAACCGGGAGGAAGAAGACGGATTGGAGCCTCACGTTGCTAGGAGCGGCGCTGTTTGGGTATATGCTTTCCACTGTACGTTCTCTGATTCTGTTCGTTTCTAAAACTCAAAACTAATTAAATATATCTTAGGGTGTATACCAGCTCAAATACCTCTACGCCGAACACGTATATGGTTGGGGTGTCGAGCAACTTAGCTACTACATCTCCTTCATGGGTGGAGCACGGGCCATGTTTCTACTCTTCCTTCTTCCCAGTAAGTCTTCTCTCTTCTGTCGTTGAGTAGTTGGCTGATCAATTTGAATCAAATAGCAATCATAGCGACGTTCAAACCCAAGCCTCGCACCTCTAGCAAAGGCAAAGGACCTGATACATCCTCCAGTACTGCGCTAGTGAAAGGCAAGAAGTCCAAACCCACACGCGCTCAGCTCGGAGATGAGATTGCATTTGATTTGACAGTGACGAGGTGCTCGCTGCTTGTCGACATCATGTCCAATTTGCTCGTATCAATTTCCCCTGCACCTTCGTTCAAGACACATCTTACCGCCATGGGGACGGACAGTCATTCGATTGAGCTCACGCAGAATCAGAGTCAGGCCCTATTCGTGCTTACTTCTTCCTTATCATCGTTAGGAAGCGGATGTGTGCCTGCGGTACAGAGTCTCGCGTTGTGCATAATGCAGGTGCGCGAGTTGAATGCAGCTTCTGCTGCTAAACATGCCTCAGCCTCCTCTACCACCACTGCCACAGCTGCCTCTAATAACTCCACTTCCAAACACAACGATGAAAACGATGAGAACGACAAATCATCTGGCACAGGTGCCCTCTTCGGAGCACTCGCCGTGCTTCAAGCTGTTGGGCAAATGATAATGGGTCCCTTACTCTTTGGGCTTGTATACAGTGGCTCTGTAGCGCGTTTTCCCAAAGCCATCTTCTCCCTCGCTGGTGGGATACTCGTGGGCGCGCTGGTGCTCATGCTTTTAGTGCGCAACCCAGTCCGGGAGGCGGATAGGGAGGGCTACGCTGTCAAGCGTGCGAACATGAATGTGAAAGGAGGTGTCAGGAGGAGGGGAAAGGATGGAGATGTTGAGCGTGGCCGATCAGCGGTGAGGAAGGATTTGAGAGGTGGGGCGGTGGTTGGGTATGGCAGTATGATGGATGCACAGAGGGATGCAACGAATAATAATGCGGATGGACGGGAACAGCAGGAGATGGCGTCGTAATAGAATTAAATCTTAAAGGTGATATTAGGTTATAGGAAGGATAGTTCGCGGTTATCAGTAGGATATGTATTGTATATAAATTTGCGGTAGATTATTGTATTATAGATTATTATTCAGTGCTTAGCATCATTGTTCGAGTAGCATATATGATCATTTTTCATTTGGATTCTTTAACCAGATACGATAAATTATTGACACGACCTAAGATTTATGCATAAATGAGTGCAGTGTAAGCATGGCATACTTACTATGAGCCATTTGTTTGTATACTGTCGGGCCGCTGTTAAGAAACATCCAATTTAATAGCTTCTTTTACCTAATGGTTAAAGTGGACCAGTTGCGTTCGGACAGGCAGCAGGCTTCCATATCTACTGAAGACCCAAATATTAAGAGTAACAATGTAACGTCCGTCGCAACCATAACCACATCGCAGGTCCGTACTGTTGGTATAGAGCACCGTATGCCGCGCCGCAAATATGAGCAGCCCAATTGATTGGTCCTACTCCCATGACCATGAATATCCCCTCGACAGCGCACCAAATCTTCCAAAGATCACTCATAGCGATTGCAGTCGATCCGAACCTTGCATCTGTATGATATATTTTGTCATCCCATTCACATGCAGCAAGTGTGATGGAGGCATATATGACCCCAGAAGCACCCGAGATATGTCGAAAGGGATTTGCAGAACTTCTTAGTGGCGGGACTAGATTGGCACTTTTGAAGGGTTGTTCTAGACACTTCAGGGTCCTAAATCGTGCGTAGTTGAGAATCCGGGATGAGAATAGCGAGAACATGCCAGCTTTCAGAACATAAAGGTATCATTATGAGACAATCGAAATACAGTAAATGCTCTTACCAGA